ACCCCCCCAAGCAACCCGTCGAGCATCAGAGAAGAGGAAAGGAAGAAGGAGAAAGAAGAAGAAGGGAAAGGAGGGAGGAAGAGAGAGTGAGAGCAAATCTTAACCGATTGGAGTGATTCAAAAGCCTAAATCACTCTAAATCTTCCCCTCTTTCATAATCCTAGCTTTGTTTTGAGTGGGGAGCATTGTGGAGAGAGATATTACCTCTCAAAAATTCGGCCCTTGGTGAGAAATTGGGGTTTTGAGAGTTTCTACCTCCATTGAAGCTTGAGGAGCCATCAATCCTTGGTTGTGTGACCATTGGTGGTAAGATTCTAACCCTTGAACCTCATGATTCCTTGAAATTTGCATGAGTTAGGGTTTGTGAATAGTAAATTGGGATTTTTATGAAATGTAGTTGAATTAGCTATGTTCTAGGAAGAATGGAGCTTAGAGCATGTTATGGAAAATGCTAGGAATGTCATTTAATCGGTGGAAATGAGCCTAGATAGTCATTTGATAATTGTTCATAATATGGGAAAATTCATGCTTGGATTGGTTAGTATTCTAGCATGTTGAACAATTAGTGAGTTGAATGATTGATTGGATCCTTGTGATGTCTAGGAATGAGACATTTGGACCAACCGTGAGTGATCAACCATTGGAGCAAGCTATGGAGCTTGAATAGCTCATTAGAATTGGTAAGCTCATACTTGTGTTGTGCTTTGAATTGAGTAATTGATGGTTGATTGTGAAATACTCTTGGATGCAATGTGTTGATTGCATTACACCATGTGTAGGTGTATGTTTGTAAAAGTTGATTGCTGAAACTGTTGGTGAAGAACAAAGGTTGACTGAAGCATTGAGGTAAGCCTTCGGACCTTGGGTGTAATTCCCTTGACTGTTCTACCAAGCCCTGAAAGGGTAGAGGTTGTGATTGTGTATATAAATGCAATAAAATAGTGTAATGCTTTGTTATACGTATGTGTATGCATTTGGTGTGGCATAGGATGGTGTTTCCCTATGTTGGTATGTTGCATGACGATGCGTAAATCATACTTGGTAGTTAGCTGGCCAGTAGGACTATTTGCATCTGAGTTTCCTTAGGACAGCTTGAGAGCTCGAGGGATTTCTCCTGGAGATGTATTGCACTTTGCATAGATATGTATTTACTGCATTATTATTGTTATTGCTATTACACTGATATGGAACTGTGGGGTGGAGAGATGCTCCAAGGACCCCTGGTTTACTGGATATATTCGTATATCTCACCCCGTGTTGTGGGGACCCCCTTTCAGGTAAGGATGCTGCAGGAGCCTCTGGTGGCAAGTGGCCATATCTGGATTATGCATGAAATATGGCATTTCTTTGAGTTTATGCATGCCTTTTGTAGTTGACATGTATAGGATTTTATTTTGAAAGCCCATGGTCATTTGTATATCTTGATTCATTGGATGAACTTAGCCTATGCTCATGCCTTTGGTTACACCTTTTGTTGATGGGAGCCAAGGGAATGATCATAGTGTTTTGTAAGCTAAGTTCTATGATTTGTAAAGGATATGTAATGTAAATGATGCCTACTTGAAATTCAATATATGCATGCTTGTTATGTATTGAGTTGTTGAATTGGTTGGGCTGAAAATCAATTAGGTACCCTTTTGTTTAAACTGGTAAACGATGAGAAAACAAAGGTCATGCTGCCCAAATTCTAGCTAAATCTCATGAGGAGAGGTTGGATGAGTGCTAGGATTTAGTTTTGGGGCATGGACAATTGGGGTTTGTTATGGGGATGCATCTTCCCCTAGGCTTGGACCGAGTTCTCAAGCGCCCTGCTGCCCCTGCGAGTGCCAATGCATTCTGCCTCCTCGCGCTGGAGCGCCCAGGATTGCGCCCTGGCGTGCGCTTAAGCGCCCTTTGCTGCAGAAAGTTGGGTGGCTTACTGCCCCCTCGTGTTTTAGCGCCCAGGGTGGGGCTTAAGCGCCCAGGGTTGCGCGCTTGAGCGCCCTGGTCCGCGCTTAAGCGCCCTTCGCCACTGAAGGAGGAGATGCTTCTGTCTCTGCGCGCTAAAACATCCCCGTGGGAGCTTGAGCGCCCAGGATAGCGCGCCTGAGCGCCCTGTTGCGCGCTTAAGCGCCCATCCACACTGGAATGCCTGATGCTTACTGCCTCCGTGCGCTTAAGCGCCCAGATGGAGGCTTTAGCGCCCGGTAGCGCGCTGGGCCTGTGACCAACACTCTCTTGTGTTGCTTCAAATTGTCCTAACTTGGGCTACAGTGCTCCGATTTGAGCACGGTTTGAAGTCACGGGTAGCTAATGAAGAAACCTACAATATATTAGAAGTTGTGAAATAAATAAGAAGTAAATTAATGGTTTAAAAATGGAAAATGAACATGATGTTAAGCTTAATTTATCTGTTTCCGCAAGGTAATATGGTTATGATCACGAAATTGGGTATTATAAGTTCGGTACGTTTTAAAATGAAAAATTTATCCGGATTTTAATTGAACCCATGTGATTGTAACTGCGCTTAATATCATAATGCGATGTTAACAAACCGGTTCTAGAACGGGGTGTTACAGGCGGCGACACGACAAATTAACGGTAGGGAGGGAAAAACCAACACGGTGGAGGAGATCACCAGATCAGGGAGACTGGGTCTGGGAGAGAAGATCGGAAGAGAAGAAAAAGAACGATTTTGAATTTAGATCTAGTTCTAAATATAGGCCACTCGTCAAACAAGTCATTTCGTGTATAATTTTTTTTTTTAAAAAAAAATGCAGTGACCCCTTTGACCTCTCTGACCCAGGAGTTACCGGTTCAACCGAGGGGTTTCGAGGGTTAGAGAGGTCAACGTACAAGTAGGGTCCAACTACTAACCCGGACCCTCAGAGAGAGAGGGTCAGTGATTCAGAGGGGTCAGCCTCGGGGTGGGGCGGGGCTTTAAAACACTGATTTAAACCATTTAAATTAAGGGTTTATTATTTTTTATATTATAGGAGATAAAAGTATATGAGGTACATTTTTTCTCTCTCTTTTATCCTCAAATGGACCTATATAGGAGATAAATTTATTTTCTATAACATGAAAACACTAAACCCTTAAATTAATTGGTTAAACTAAGTGACATTATAAAAGCAATTTACGTGCAATAATATAAAACATGTATAGTGGGCTAAAATATCTTGTGTTTGGGAAGGGGGCTTGATGCCTAGCACCAAATTAATTAATCTAAGCCTGACATGACTTCTTTCTAATTTTTAATTATTATGATTATTATTAAGACTCTCAATGGGTTTGCGTTGAACGCAGGGACATAGAAAACTATAAAAAAAAAAATCTAAGAATTCAGAGGAAGTAACAAAGGGAAGCTTTTACCAAAATTTGTTCCTTATGTGCTTCTAGACCGAAAAAAAAAAAGTTATATAGGCAGGAGAAGTGGCATTTGGTGTATGCTATTGACTATTTAGTGTATTGATTGACTTATTTGCTGCTTATACTAAAAAAAAATTGCCCATCAATTAATTTACTTTAACCCACCTTAATGCGAGTCAAATTGTGTTAGGTTAACGTTAAAAAGACTAAAACCTTGTTTACTCCAAGAATACCCATGAGCTGGTTTTGGTTTTCAACTCCAAGATGAGGCTCCACACAATTGACGACATACATCATTGTAGCAGTTGCCATCAAAGAAGGAAGATAACTCATAAACCTTGAATCTGTAATGATGGGTAAAAGATGAAGTCAAAAACAAAATAAACAAAGTGAGACACTTAACATCTGCAAAGACCGAGAGAAGAACAGCTTCACACCTCTTGAGAAATTAGAGAAAAGTCATGTCCGTTCCAGTGACGTCATTTTCACTCTCTCTCTCTCACTCGCTATACCTTGTAGCGAGTTTGTATCCTGATGTCACATAATTTTGCAGAAAAGGCTGAGCCCTTTAACAACTACACTCGCTGCATCTGGCAGCAAATTTGATGAAGTACAACAAGTTTGAAGTAAAAGTGGCAATATGCACGGAGTCCGGCGGGTCAACCCTTCGAAATGAGGGAGATTGAATTAAGGTTTTTAATCCACCAATTCACTTCAATCCGTCCCGCTTATAAGTGAGTCAAAACGGGTTCAACTCGCCACTAGGTAGGCTGACCTTCCGCGGGGCGGGTTGACTTGCCGGATTATATTTTTTTTTTTACAATTAGGTAGTATTTCATTTGTCATTAAATTTTTGTGATATCCAATTTTTTTTTATCTTAATTCTTCCTAGAAAAAATAAAGAATAACAATTTTATGTATAACAAATGTTATCTATATATGGAGACAAATGAGTTCCTAATGAATGTTTGACAAATATTAGTATACTTTAAGACTGAGACTGAAAAAAATTAAGAGAAATGTGAAATAAATTAAAATAATAATAGAAAAATTCATAAAATATAATTTATTTTTGAATTTTAATTAATTTTTTTAATTGGTGGGTTGACCCACCAACTCACCATAAAATGAGGTGGGTTCATTTTTCCAGCCTATATTTAATGGCAGGCAAACCCGCCCCGATCCCGTTTTTGACGGGTTGGTGTCGGGTCAGGGCAGGCTAACCCAAATTGTCACCCCTAGTTTAAAGACATGACATTTTGGCAAATTTTCTGACCTGCATAACATTTGGCAAATTTTTCTGAAAAAGGTGACATAGTGGTCAATGTCCCGTCGATTCGTGAAGACTTCTCAAAATATGTGACATTAATGCACCTTGTAATATTCTTTCTCTTTGTTTACACAAATCTCATAAAATTATGGTTACATAGTGAGAGTTGTAATTTAGTCTTGATTATATGTAACAAGTTGATTTCATATATATATAATTTTTTTTTAAAAATCTCATTTATTTTTCACATGAGACAATCATGTTCGAACTGGAAACATCTACGTCATGGTGAGACTAGCTTTCTCAAAGGAATTTTTTTGCGTTCACAAGAACTTAAACCCAAGACTTTGCTTAAATGGAATCAAGTATGAACCAGTTCAACCAACCACATTTGATATTTCATACTTAGTACATCAGAAATCAAAGAAGCAATGAAATACCTAACCATAGATATACAAATTTTGCATCTACTTTCCATCATGTGCATGAAACTAGATGAAGCAGGTGCTAAATTAGCATGCAAAACGTTCACAATAGATTAGATGAGGTTAGGTAAATGGTCCACTATCGGGGCTCTAACATGGTTAAACTTATTTCATTGGTTGACGAAAACTTCTGCTTCTTAGAAGAATCACCTTCAAGAAAGTACTTCTCCATAAGGAAAGCAGGTTCCTTAGGTTGAGGCAAGGCACCCTCACTACTCAACATCACAACCACAGTTGACATACTTGGTCTATCCTCAGGATGCTGTTGGACACACAGAAGACTGATATGGATGCAACGCAACGCTTCTGATAGAACAGATGAATTCTCCATGCATGAATCTATCAAATCCAATGGTCTTCTTTCTGTCCAAAATCTCCATGCCTAAAACGTAGAATAAAAAACATGTCATTCATAAAGCTTCTTACTAGTAACAGGAAAAACAAACTTCTTTTCACTTACATGTCCAATAAGGTCTATATTGTTATTTGAGTTGGAAAATCCTCTGTTCTTCTTTCCACTTATTATCTCCAACAGTAATACACCAAAGCTGAAGACATCAGATTTAACTGAGAATAGCCCATGAATGGCATATTCAGGTGCCATATAACCACTGAAGAAAATGATTAAAAATATGGTTTAGATCATTATTGGGTGGAGGTAGATGCAAATAAAAAACTGTGTTGTGATATTAACTTACTATGTTCCAACAACCCTCCTTGTGTTTCCTTCAGTTTGATCTCCCCCAAAAGTTCTAGCCATGCCAAAATCGGATATTTTTGGGTTCAACTCATTGTCAAGTAAGACATTACTTGCTTTAAGATCTCTATGTATTATCCTCAACCTAGAATCTTGATGAAGATATAGAAGTCCTCGGGCAATTCCACATATAATGTTGAAGCGCTTAGACCAATCTAAAACTTTACCTTTTGCATGATCTGGCAAGGATAACAGAATTATTAACTCATTACCAGCAAGAATGAACAAATAATTGAGGTTAAAGGACAGAAAGGGGTAATATAAAGAGGGAAATGGGGGAGGAAAATTCTAAAAGAAAATGAAAAATAAATTGCAAAAGATATCAAGAGATCCAAACCAAAGATAAAGGAGTCTAGGCTTTTGTTAGGCATGTATTCATAGATCAGCATCTTCTCCTCTCCTTCATTGCAACAACCAAGAAGCTTAACCAAGTTTCGATGCTGAAGTTTTGCAATCAATATGACTTCATTCTTAAATTCATTAAACCCCTGTCCAGAACATTGTGAGAGCCTCTTCACAGCAATTTCTTGTCCATCTGGTAGGGTACCCTATAATTTCTCATCCGTATGTAACATATAAATATGATAAATAAGATGGATTCTATGTTTTTATGTTCATCAAACTAGCATGCTGCATAATTACCATGTATACAGCCCCAAATCCACCTTCTCCAAGCTTATTGTTAATTGAGAAGCCATTAGTTGCTTTGATAATCGTAGCAAGGTCAAAGAAAGGAAGCTCCAAGTCTTCTCTATCGCCTTCATCATTATTCTCTGCCATTAAGTTTCTCTCTGTTTCATTAGCTGTAAAGACCCAATAACATGCCACTAATTACATCACTGACACATTGTCTAGAACTAAAGGAAACAAACACACACACACACGTTAGAGGTTTTTAATTCTTTGAAAAAATGGAGAATATATGTTACTTTCTCTGTCAGCAACAACTTAAATTCAAATTTGCAACCACATAAGAAAGAAGAAAGGGAATGAAATTATATAATGCTGTGCAAAAATTTGAATGGATAACACTGGTAAGGCTCTTGTATAGTACTACTCATAAGAGCTTGACTAGCTCAACCAAATCATTGTGATCATGCGAAAAATCTTTAATACCACCGAGGTACCTACGACAAACCAACGGAGGTGCGCCACATCAGCAACTTTTTCTGAAGAAAAAGAATAAAAAAGCAACTTTAGTATTTTACACTATGTACTAGCCATAGTACATAGTGTAAAACACCCCGTTGTACCCAGTTTATAAAGAACTAATTCAACCCAAAAGCTTAAGCTGGTGGGTGAGACTACATTAATAGTTTTATATATCTCAATATGCCCCCTCACACGAGAGCCCACTGGACTTGAAGGGGGACAATGCACAGCCCACCTACCTGTGCGAACAAAGAAATTCCACTTGAAAGAAAATGGGGGGCGGTGAGGATCGAACCGGTACACCGAAGCTCTGATACCATGTAAAGAACCAATTCAACTCTAAAAGCTTAAGCTAGTGGGTGAGGCTACATTAATGATTTTATATATCTGAATACAGTTTCAATACTACCATGGTACTAAAAGTGTTCTCGTGATCATGATGTAAATAAATCACGGTGGAACAGGACATGCAATGGCTTCAACACCCCGGCATTCAAATTAGAAGCAAGAAAGGTTTAATTTGATTGATATTCTTGTTCTGTATGTCACTGTCAATTTCGTGAAATGAAATAAGCTAGAGTAAGAAAGCTACCTCTTAACTTTTTCATTCTCTTGACAACATAGAGCAAGGCCAGAATCACCATAAGAACTGAGGAGATCATGATGATTATTGCTACCACCTTATTCTTGTGTTTTTCTTTCAAGGCTTCATGATTTATACAGAAATGAGCAGAATAAGTTATGAAATCATTGAAAAATATATAAAGTTATGCCAACAGAATAGCAAATACAGTAGAGTTGAAAATCATTTATCTTAGTCAATAAAATATCAATGACTTGAGAGAGATCAAGACCTTACCTAACTCTGAAATTTTCATTCGAATATATAGATCCGGACCACTTCTAGAAAATTGTCTGATATCCTTGAGGTCACCGAACCACATCAAACAGCCACTACCTCCTCCTCTCATATCTGAATTTGCATAAGCTTTACATGAACAATTCTCTAAGCATCTAACCCTGCATTCATTGAGATTCATACTCTCATTGACCCAAGAATGTGAAGTATCAGGATATTTCAGCCCACTAAATTTCAAAAACCCATGTTTGCTCCTATCCTCACAGCTCAATTGTTCAGTGAGTAAACATCCTGTAGTCCAATCCATGGTGTCCCAGTTTCCTTGTGATCTTGGCTTAAACCCTTCTAAACACTGGCACACTGGCGAGTCACCTACGATGCAATTTCCATATGGTCCACAAAGATTATACGAGTCACAGTTATCTCTAGGCACAGATGCATAAAGCCTCCAAGATTGAGCTTCTTCAATCCATATGTACCTCTGGCGAGTGCTAATGGTTTGGTTCATAACAATCCTTGAAATTATTGACTTATTCCTAAGGTTGTATGTGTAGTACACTTCATCCTTGTTGGAGACAAACTTGAACTCAAAAACAGGATTGTTCTTCAATTCTGGGGCGCCAGTGAATCCAAGGCCATTCCAAGATCCACCACGGTAGTACTCTTTTGAGCCTTTCCACATAATTATTTGAGGAAAACCTTCAAGTGAGATACCCCAAGAAAAGTCTCCAGGTGATGGATCATCCCAGTTCTTCCAAGAAGATACACGCCATTCAAGACCTGTTTTTAAGTCCCAACCCAACTTCATTCCTGGTAGTAATGTATCAGAAGGATAATCAAAGCTTTGCCACATGTAGTTTTCAGGATCTTCATCTCTCTCATCTCTCAGTACTAAATTCCCAGAATTTAAGAGCTGAACAATGGGATTCAGAACCAGAACCTTCTTTCTGGACTCTGCTGACCAAAACACAATCAAATCATGGTTAACAAGAACAAGATTCCCTTCACTGTTTATATGCAAGATGCTAGAGTTGTCTTTCACAGGGTTGGCTCCATTGGCAACCCAAACAACAGTCTTAACTGGTATATGCTTGTACCATATTCCCAAGTAACGGTTTGCAAAACTTGCTGGACTGAAGAAACCCAATTCAAAGTATCCATCTTCAGAAACTAAGGTCTTTCCTTCAGAAAGTGATTGGAACCGTGATATGGAGTCAGCTGCACTGGAGATATGAAAAAAGAACAAGAGAGTCTTAGTAAAGACAAACACAAGACAAAGATTTTTCATCACTAGACAATCCTGTGTGTTTTTTCTCACTGAAAAGTGGAAAGAGCATCACACCTCTCGGATTTTCTACAATCCTCTAACACGAATTTGTAACAATGATTTCTGTGGTGTTTTACTTATTGCTTTGTTATTCTTCAATCCATATAATGTATGGTTTGCTCAAATTATAGCCACAGTGCCGTCGTGCTGCAGAAGTAATTAGCATATTAAGAGAGATATCAAAATCAGAAAAGTGGCTGTTCGTAAAGATCTTTTCGCTGCCTAATATCGTCCTTTCTTTTCCGTCTATCTTAATTTTATAGAAAAAGTGGACGAGAAAGTGTAAAAAATTATCAAATATATATCAAAATGTCATTTCATTTAAAAATAATACAAAACTATGTCGTTTATAATGACAAAAATTTTTCCCAATTAATATTTATACTTTTAAAGAACATAAAATTGTGACATTTTAATTAAAATTATTTTTTTATAGTGAGAGAAATAGAATTCATTATAGGAGAAAATTAGCAATTTTTTAATTTAAATTTTAAATAAAAAAATAATAATTTTGATCATAATAATTGTTGACAAATAATTTTAAACCTTCACCCAAAATCTTAAAATAGAAAAATATTATTAAATTTCTTTTTCCTTTATTTTTTTCGTCATTGTATCTCCGGCTTGTTCATGATGCAAACGGTTGCAAAGAATCAATATAATGATCTTATCTTGTAAATCTTAATTAGAGATTAAGTTTAAGGATTTAAATGTCATAATTAGATTCAGAGTGTGATTTTGAGTATTTTGACTGTAATCATTACTAGGTCATGAACAGTGCTTTTTGCCGGATGATCTGTATTGATGTGAATCAATTGGTAGAGCTTAAAATAGGCAAAATGAATTTAGAGACATAATTTGGCAATTCTGATGCAAAATGTGAGTTCAGAACGAAAAATTGTATAGTCTGGCACTTTCCTTGAAAATCTCATGAATAATGTTTTTATGTCGGATATATCATACCGCTGTTTAAGCAACCGGTAGAGTCCATAACTAAATAATTGATGAAATAAGAATAAGAAAGTCTAATATATGCCAAACAAGTCATAATAGACCCAAAAATGATAAGTTTATAAGTTTTAAGTTTCGTATGCAAACGGTGCTAAATTAGTGATTCACATTGCATTTCGTCAAAAATGGTGCAGAAACCATACTGTGAAATATTAATATTGTTCCTTAGGGAATAAAAGTTAATATAAATAAGTTCAGAAAAATAAAAAATATGTTCGTAGCTTTAAGTTAGTTCCGGGTAGATTTAAGTGAAAATACGCGAGAGAAAAACAATCGGTAAAAAGCCACATGTGCTTATAAACCTTAAGTGACTTGAAAATCACTATTCACATCAGACTTTTGCTCCCTTCTCTTTCTTCATACCCAGTTGTTCATCTTCAAAGGGGGGTTAGGGTTTGAAATTTCTTTTCTAGATTTCTCACTCCACAATCATCCAAATGCAAAAGTCCATTACGTGAAATCGATAGTAAACCATCCAAGGAATCCATTCCACCACTTTGTTTGAGCTAAAATTACTTGTGGGAAGACTTCTTCCTCCTCTCCAATTCGTGGCACTATTCATCCAAGTGCAAAAGTGTGGATTTTGAGTGAGCTAAGCTTAGGTTTTGTTCCTTGGACCTTGGATAAGCGATTAGAGGTAAGAAATATCAATTTCCATGGTTTAATTTTTATGATTTAAGTCTTGAAAGTTTGAAGCATGTTTTGGTGGGAAATAATTGAGTTTGAAATTTGAAATTGATGATGAGTTTGTGTTGTTTAAGAAGTTATAATATGAATTAAACATTAACATGTGTTGGAAAATTGAAAAATCCCATTGCACCTCCCTCCCCTAGGTTCGGCCATGATAGGTTATTTAGGGTTTATTGTGCAAAAAATTTAATTGCATGGATTGGAAGGTTGGTATGTTGGTGTAGGTTGAAATTTAAGTGTTAAAGTGAGATGACAAAGTGGAAAATCCCTTGGAAATCCTCCTTGTGCATTTCGGCCATCATGGTTCCAATGGGGGAAGATTATGTAAATTTTGTTTTAATGATGTGTTAGCACTCCAATGTGGTTCACTAGTATGATTATGAAATGAAATGGCTTATGAAACCATGAGTGTGCTTGTGGTTCATGTAATCATCCTTAAAGCGATCTAATAAAGGAATGTATGAAAGTGTGGTCTTGACTTGTGTATTGGCATAGAATTGACAAAAATGTAAAGAAATGAAAGTAAGTGATAAAATGTATGCCCTATGTAAAATCATGGCATGGTATCATTTTATTGATTTTTGTTTTGGATTCTTTTTCTAGGTGTGCCTAGTGACTGAGCGTCTTTGGTTTCCTTTGGAGCTAAATAGGTAACTTGTGTTACAAGTGAGCAAATTGTTAAAGCTTCAAAAGGTAAGCTCTATTTTTAAGGAGCTTTTTCCTGCTTGAGTGCTCCACCATGGTTAGTGAACTATGGTTGGATTGTATAATTGTATTTGATGCTTTGTATAGATGCATTTATATAGAGCCATTTGATAACATGATGTGATTTGTTCTGATGTGATTTCTGTATTGATCTTTGGCCATTGATTTGTTTATGCATTGATGTCTGCTTGGGGTCCTCCCTCGGGACTGATTGTGTACACCTCTGATATGTTTTGGTTCCGCTTGGGGTCCTCCCTTGGGAACACGTGCGTTGATTTTCGCTTGGGGTCCTCCCTTGGGAATAACTGCATACGCCTCTGATATGATATGTTTATATGCTTTGTTCTGTTATGATATCTGTTATATGACATTTTTGTATACTCTGTATCTGACTCTCATGCAAGAGTGGGCCTAGGGGTATGGAGAATTATCTATAAACTTGGAGCTTATTGAGATTTGTTATTTAACCCTTTTGGGGACATCATTTCAGGTATACAGGTTGACGTTGAGCATACACGGGGCAAGGATACGACCTGTGGATAGAGTGCTTGGTGGACTGGATTTTGTGTAGCAGTATGCTACCATTATTTTGAGGATTGTTTATATGTCTTAGTATTCCATTCGTTTTGAGGATCATGATGTCTAATCCTTTACTTTGTATATGACTTGTATATGTTTTGCACATGTTTTCCGCTTTGATGCATGTACCTTTGTGTATTCAGGCATGTCTCTATTATGATGTAGTATTCAGATATATGATTACATGTTGGATATGCATGCTGTTAGACATAGTGGCACGGAGTCATGTTATGCATGCGCCCACGGATGGGTAGGTGATCCTATATGAATATCTGGTAGTGATGAAATCATATATTGTATAAACTGTTTATCAGGATACCTTGCAAATCCCTAGTTGTCCGATTTACAGAGGTTACTCTATCTAATTTTTGTCTTCGTAAAATAAGAATTAAACTAGAAGAAGTATGCAATGTAATATATATGTGAAAAAGGATTAAAGAAAAAAAAGAGTTAGCTCGTATTTTCGTAAGTTAAATCTTCCGCGATTCTATTTAGTATCATACATATGTTAATTGAACCGGCTCGAGACGGAGATGTTACAATCAGGTCAAAAATAAAAAAAGAGAGAGATAGCTTTAGTCAATTTTGGCTGCTAGCATTTTAGCCAGGATGCACAATACTAGCAAAAAAATCTTTCGACGTAGACGTAGGAAAATTCTTAATCATTGCTCAGAATTATTAGTCTAGAAAATAAGGTTATTATTCTTTTGAGTTGTTTAAAAAGAAAAATTAAAATATAATACTATAAGTTTTCAAAAGTATGAAATATAATGTTTCATTAAGTTTTATCCCCATATGTTTGTCAAATTATTAGACTAATATTTAAATAAAAAAGCCTTATGTTTTTCATGATATAATGTTATCACTTTGAATAATGGGTATTTCCGGTCACATAACAGTCAATTGCATGAAGGGACCAATTGACAAAAAGTAAAGTATTGCGTAAGAGAGAAGGCGTGACCGAGAACCCCGTGGCCGTGGTCCTGAAGCCAAGTGTTGACTGTAGCCATCAATTCTAATCAATAACTTAAGAGTAACTTTTTTGATTACCAAAAAATAAAAATAAAGAGTAACTTTGTTCCCTACAATTTGAAAAATTACTGTATATTATGAGAGTGCTATATTATCGTAATAAAATAACAACATATATAAATCCTCGTATTGCATAATCATATGTGATTGGATTAAAAAAATATTGGTTAATTAAATTTAAACATTTACAAAAATATTAAAATTATTACTCTTAAGAGTATATAATTTTTTTAAAGTTTTCTGTGCGGCCCAGTATAAGTTATTTAATTTTTTGTACAACCATTTCATTCTTTTGAATCCTTTTTATTTTTGGGATATCTCTTGATCACTGTAGGTGCTTGTTCTCACAATTGATACTACACTCACATGTAGTAGTCGTTTACTCAATGATATAATGTACATTTTAGAATATCCTCAAGAATCACCTATATATGCATCATTCAAGTCTTAAGATCCAAGACACTATGTTTTTATGGTTAAAAAGAGTTCAAATAATTATTAAAATAGTTAAAAATATAGTGTTAAAACAGTAAAACAAAATGAATTGAAAACAAATAGAAGATTCTGAATAATTGTTGTTGTTTGAGTTGTCGAAACTAGAATAACAAAGTGCTAATATGATAAGGATGAGGCAACAGTGAAATCCGCGGAGCAATGAGAAAATCAAAAATTAAATATTAAATAAAATAAAAATTGTAACGCTCGCTCCACTGCTCGCTAAAGCGAGCAAGTGGGCGAGCAGCTCGCAAAGCTCCTAGCTCAAGCGAGCAAATGGGCGAGCATATCGCAAAAGTCCTCGCACGAGCAAGTAAGGGAGCGACCAGTAACAAGTGCTCGCTTCAGCGAGCTCCTCAGCGAGCGGGTCCAAATTTCACCCTTTAAATACAACGCGAAGGAAGCCGTGAAATGAATTCTGGAACGCGGAAAAAGAAGGCACTCAGAGACGAAGCGAAGGAAGGAGCGGAAGAGTAGCACTGGATCGTGGCAGAGGAGAAGGAAGGAGTCAACTCTGCACCATTGATCATTACC